CCCCCTTGCCTATACGTTCGGCAAGTTTGGCCTTGACCTTGTGGTTAGGCTCCCAGACTCGCAATCATAAGGTCGTGGGTTCGAATCCTGTCAGGGACCTTACGTTGTTTTCCTCACTTAACGCAGGTGGGAATGGGAAGGCTACCCAGCTATAGGCAGTGAAAGATATTGTCAGTTTGTTAGTGGTTGAGCGCTTAATCAGCTATTATTAGCACTGTATGCTTCCCGGAAAACTGAAAATGTTTCTGAGTGTTCTATGGTCCCCTGGGGTAATAATATAGTGCTATTTATTATTTATATATTATTTAATATTATTATCACCTGCATACACAAGTGCCCCCAAATACCCCGTTATGAATAAAGCCGATGCCCCTTCTCCAAGGCTATATTATAAGTTATAACAAAACTGAGAAAGCCTAGCCTTTATCTCTTCCTCCTGTTCGGCGTCGTTTGTCCAACTGTCTCAGACTGTTCATCGGTGTCTGTGGTTTAACAGTTAGGCGCTTCGCTGTTGCACGCAGGAGGCCCGAGTTCGATTCACAAAGATAAAAACCCTGAAATCGTTCGTGTGATCAATCGTTTTGTATGAAGAAAGTGAGAACTGGAATCTAAACAAGGACACAGAGAGAAGACTGGAAGCCACTGAAATGTGGTATTTTAGGAGAGTACTCAGAATCTTGAGGACAGAGAGGAAAAAACCCAGAGCAGTGCTCCAAATGGTAGGCTGTGGAAGATCTTCAGAACCACCAAAAAGAGACAATTGAGATTTTTTGGGGTATAAATCGATCAAATTGACGAGAGAAATTGCTGCCGAGTGGAAAGATAGAGAGACAGATAGAGAGGAAGACAGAGAACAACATACACAGAAGGCCTGAACAGCTTTGCAACAAATAACAATATGAGAAAAACCGAGCTGATCAGGAAGATAGACAACAGAAAGGAATTAGTGGAAGAAGAAGAAACCCATTTACAATTCTACTGTGCATGAGAACGTGTTGATATCCTCCTTTGGGAATGGCTAAAAGACAACTTCGTGCTTCTCTTTACTCAAACAAAAACAAACAAACAAACATGATGTACACTCTATACTTCAGACAAAGAGACCATCCCTTCAACTTCCGGTGTCATCCAGCACGCCCTTTATCTCAAGAAGTTGTCTGTTCGGTTGGGGGATGTGAATGTGGGATGGAGAGAGAGGGGGGGAGAGGGGGGGAGGGGGATAGAACGAGAGAGAGTGGAAGA